GATCTCCCTTCCTAACCCCCTGCCCCATGCATGTGGCACCAAAGGTGTCCCAGCACCCAGGTGTGCTGACGGTTTGGGGGGGGCTGGAGGAGGCTGGGATCCCCCGGGACCCCCTTGATCAGGGATGGCATCAGCGTGGGACCATGCACAGGGAGGAGGGATGGTGCATGGCAGAAGTGATGGTGCAGTAGGAATCCCCAGAGTCAGCCGACTCAGGATGGTGCCAATGGGGTCTGAGTGCTGCCAGGGTCTGCCCGATCAAGAAGGGACCACAGGGACTGTGCCCCATCCATGCTTGGGTGCCGGAGCTGGGGCCCACAGGCTTGCAGGGGCTGGGACTGCTGGAGGGGAGGGTGGGCTGGAGGAGTGGGATGAGGGACATAGGCAAGGGGTGGGCTGGGATGAGGTGGGTGCTTTCTCTCCAAGGAGGCTGGGGGGCTCAGACCAGGAGCAGCCTCCACTCTGCCCAGGGAGGAGGAAGAAGCATCCGCCAGGAGAGGGAGCATGGCCACACAGGTGATGGAGAGCCTGGAGTACCCACAAGATCTGGCCCCGTGGGCACATGTGCTTCCCCATCCTCATCGTCATCCCCGTCCCCATCCTGCTGGGGTCCCAGGCGTGTGCTGTCTCACTGGGCAGCAGCTCCTCCTTGCCTGTCCCTCCTCTGGAGCCCCTGGCAGCCCTGGTCTGCAGTACAGAGAAAGGAGGGGGTGTCCCCAGGTCCCCCACCCCTGACTGTGTACCCTGGCAGGCTGCAGCAGTGCCAGGGCAGTGCTGGGCTGCTCCGCACCTGCAAGGGGTTGTTTCCCCCCAGGAGGCGAGGGGGAAGCGCCCCGGGTCCCCTTGTCTCCTTCCTAATGTCTGTGCCATATCCTTCCCCATTGCAGGGCTCTTCCCCACCCAGACATTCACTGCTGGCAGCACTCACAAAGTCCCTGTGCTTAAGTTATCACACGCTGAGGAAGAGGAGGGTGAGTGTCATCCTTGTGCTTTTAGTCCCCGTCCCTCTTTTCGCCTGCTCCATGTGTGTGGCCGGTCATGTCCCTGCCCTTTGCTCATAGGCACTGAGAGATTATTCATCAATGGCCGTGCTGCCGGTCTCAGGGGGCTTCAACTGGGAGAGGAGATGGAGAGGGGAGGGGAGGAGAGGAGGAGGAGAGGAAGAGGAGAGGAGAGGAGGAGAGGAGAGGAGGAGGAGGAGAGGGCAGCAGGGAGTGTGCGTGCATGCATGTGTGTGTGTGTGCA